TGCATCCTCCTCTCCTGGAGGCTTGACTGCCAGGGCTTGGGGTCAGCTTACAAACAGTGCAGCCGAGGGCAGCCCTTTCATGCTGGAGATGTGGGGAGGCTCCCAGTCTCCCCTCATAATGCTGCAGGGAAGCCATGGCAAGTGTTCCCCTCTGCCCTGTGGGATCTGCTTTTAAGGTGGGGCTCCAGATCTTTGCCCTTGCTGGAAGCCATGGGCTGCTGATCCTGTGCTGGCCCCTGTCCCTGACCTGCCAAATCGACTTCCCAGTTTGACCTTGGACTTGCCTCATTGCCAGGGGCCTTCGTGGCTACCATTGGGCTGTGTCTTACCCTGGTTGCTGTCACTATGGACTGCTGCTCCCCTGCCTGCCCTGCTCCCTGGCTGGCGTGGTGGGGCAGGTCCTGCCTCCACTATGGGGAGCCCCCTCTTCCTCACAGTGCCACTCCCAACACAGTCTCGAGCCCTCTGTGACCTCTGGCTTGGCCTCTGGTACTGACCATCTCAGTGGCACCTGAAGCCCTCTACCCACTGCTGAAGCTCCTCGGTGGCAACCCCAACTCCCTCCATGCTCCCAAGCTCTTCAGGGATTGCCTGACCTGCCCTGGACCCTACAGTGACCCTCCAGAAACATCTGCCCAGACCCACCCCACCCAAGCCAGGGAGCTGCATGGACCATGGAAATAGCTCCATGGGGACTCTTGACCCAGCCTGGGGTCAAGCAGAAACCATGGTAGAACTGAGGAATCAGAAATCCTGCCTGTGTCTGATGATGTGTCTGTCATTATCTGATTATGTCTGTCATTGTCTGATTGTGTTAGTAGTTCTGAATAAGTGTATCTAAAAGTACATGCAAGTAACCCTTCCTGAGTACTGTGCTGTGCTATTGAGTAGGAACACAGAAAAAAGCTTAACATGAAGAATATACCTGAAATAACACTGTATATTTTGAAGATAAGGTCCAACTATGCCAAAGTAATCAAAATTGCATAAAATATTTTGACGTACAGTAACAATGTTATGAAAATTAATAATGAGAATGAGCTGTACTGTGTTCTGCAGATCAGAAAAGCGCTCTTGTTCCTTCACAATATTCCACCTGATAATACAGATCTTTAACATTGCAACACATAATCAGATTGCAAAATTCTCTCTATGTATCTTTAGCTTATCTATCTCACCAGTAGTGTGGCAAACACATCTCTTTGCCTTTACTAGCCTGCCGTGGTACCAGCCCTCTAGGGCACTCTCACTTCACGCAGGATTTAGGCAAGAAGGAAAAAATGCGTTGCTGCCTTCCTGTACCAATTCAACTGACCACCTCCTTCAAGAGGGTGCCTCCACCCAGCCCATCTCCCATTCTGATGTGGTAGGGAAGCAACCCCTCCTCTGAGTTGTTGGACACCTGCCAGTGTGCAGCTCTAATTTGCTATGCTGCTAATCATTCTTTTGCTAAAGGCAGTAGAAATGTATCTGCTCATGAGCACACATATGTACTTTTGTCTTAAATAACTAAGACACTGAACACAATTGCAAGTTCCTGAGAGCAATGACAACCTCTCCTGCTCACGTAAGCCCTTAATACCGCCATGTCTACTTCACAAAACACAGAACTATGCCTGCACATCCAGGCATCAATTCCCGTGACCTGCCTGTATGATCCTGAAAATAGAATTTGGTAGAGTTAGAACTTTCATGTCACTGAGAAATCATCTGCAATAAGGCCATTGACACATTTGCTTGTCACCACTGACATCCCAAATCTGTGACATGTCAGAAACACCTCTACATTACTGTAACCAAGGTCTAATACCAGGATTTGGATGTGTTCTTGCAAATCCTTTGAATTGCTTTTTGAAGCAGCCCAAAGAGCTCCGTTCTTGCTCCAGCTGTGTTTGCCTCAGATCATTACCTTTAGAGCAGGAAAGGACTCTTGGGGTTATATATTCTACTTTTCCTTCTTGAATCTTAGGGGTACTGCTTACCCTGCCAGAAAGCCCAAACCTAGTGTTTCATACCACACGTACAGATTAGCTTTCACGTCTGGCTGGTCTCCAGTCTTCCCGTCAGAGGGGAGCTTACTGCAACATTCAAAAAATCCTCCATCTCTTCAGGCAGCAAGTTTTCAGGCAGCAATGCATTAGACAGAGCGATGACTGAGAGCAGATGACACTGCCCAGAGCCCAAATTTGTAAACCTTAAGAAAGCCATATGGTTCTGACAGCATTTCGGAATGTCTCAGCCACAGAGCCAATGCCATCACGCTTGCAGGTGATGACATAGATCTGTCTCATATCTCCAAATGGACCAGGGGAAGAGCACATATGAGGAGCTGAAGGTGTGGGACAGCTTTCTGTTTTCTAGTTTGTTTCTAGCTTAGCACCCAATTAAACTTAGGCCCAGCAGCTACAGCCCTTTTCTTAAGTCAAGCCTTGCTGGTAATTAAGAGCATACCCAGGCAGCCCATCACTCTCACAGGGTGTGTGATGTGACTCAACACACCTGATTGAGAGCTGCTAACCACATTCATGTCTTCTAAAATTATCAGGATCTGGTAAAGCATGATCACAGCTTCCACAGGCTGAGCCCAGCTTCACCTGTCTTGTAAAAGCCAGTACTGAGAGTAGCCAGGAAGCTGTTCAGTGGGATCTGATCCCTTCCCAGCTCTCTGTCACAGCAGGGCAACCACTCAAAAGGAGGGGAATTGCAATGCTGCATCTTGCTCATCACTCAGTAGCTGCCTCTCATATGGATTAGTGGCACTTGATATTGTAGCACCTTGAGACAAGAAAGAATCTTTAAAATCTTTTAATCGTTCTGTATGTCATAACATGGATTAGATTCAACAATTTCCCTTTTTTGCTGAGGCTAGTCTGACTGAAGTCTGTCTTTGGAGAAGGAATTAGTTTCTGACTGAATGGATGAAGATGTAGACAGGAACATGTTACTGAACAGTTTGCTCTGACGGCAGTTTGTTCAATATCTTAAATGCATCTTCATCATCTGGTGTCTCTTCTTTTGCTTTATTAAGCAGCTGTTTAATATTGGCTACTCTGGAAATGAACCAGATTGGACAAGATGATCTTCTGAGGTCCATTCTGATCTGGGGTGTTCTATGAAATAATGTTATACTGGAGTCAGGCCTTCAATTGACCTTCAATTAGGTTTTCACAGACTAAACACATTAAGTTCTTTCAGACTCCGGCATTATTTTCTCAAAATTCCAGATAGTTTCAGGAGCTTTTTGCTGCATCTTTTCCAAATTTTCAACATACTTGTCAAATTATGAGCACCAAAATGGAAAGTTATAATCTGGTATTGTCTGCTCCAGTGCCAACTATGTTTTATCCAAAATAATCTGATTAACTTTATTTTCCACAATACTACATTGGAAACTCACATTCAGTTGTGACTCCTGGGTACTTTCTAAAAACATTATTTTTCAGAACTGAAAATTGAATAATCTCCATGTGCTTATTTAGAAATTATTCTGTTAAAAGAATATAATGCCACCTATGTCAAAGAAAGGCTTGTTCATTTACTGTCCTAAATGAAAGATAGCAACAGAAATTTTAAAATACAGAAAAAGAAGTCTTGATAACAGCAATAGACCTTGGAAATGAAGAAACAAGTTCATCCTAGCCACATAGCTCTTGCACACAAACAGCTGTTTTGGCAGACTAAAACCAGTCCATCTGGAAACCAAGTAGTTCAGTGACCTTTCAACATTTAAATATATCCCTCCTAAAGTTTTTAAGCCCTGAAATCATGCCAGAGATACCTTTTTTAGATTTACTGACCATCCTTTCCCATTCTGTGCTCTGCTTAATTCCATGTAAGTATCCAAATGTGTTGCATGGTGTTTGAAAAGCAAACCATTGTCATGGTGTTACAGTTTATAATGGGAAATACGTGACTGACCTGCTTCAATTTTGTGGTACTATCTCCTTCAACATCCAGAGCATAATCAGTGTTTTCTTGTAAACATGTTTTCTGTGCCTCTGTATCTGTACTTGGTCATGTCCCAGCAACATTTGCATATTTGCCTGGGAAGTTCTCAGGCTGAAAAGCCAAGCTCCAGAATACTTCGGGACAAGAATCAATGCAATTTCTCCCGCAATTTCATGACAGAAGTGGTGATGTCTGGGGAAAACTGCTGTTTTTTACAGCAGTGTGGGGTCTGAAGGCTAGGAAACTAAACGAATTTCATTAGCAGGATGACAGTATTTATATGTGATTATACACTGTGCTAAGGTTTGTGGGGTTTATTGTTATTATTTCATTTGGCTTGGGAAGGAAAGGAATGGGAAACAATATCACTGGGAGTTTTTTGCTGGAATAACTGAGAACTGATATGTTGTTCAGAGGCTGAGCTTTCACAGGAATGAACACTTCGTACTCTCAGGCGAAGCTGGCTTCTTAGGGGTTTCAGGAGCAGAGTGCAAGTGAGAAAAGCTGTGCCTTCTCCCGTCTGGTCCTTGGTCCTGGGCTGAAGGCATTCTCCTTTTCCTCTTCTTCTCCCCACCTTCTCCCTGTGAAACACAAGCTGACGGCAGGGCAAGAAACAGAGTGGAGAAGGAAAGGAAAATAAAAGGAGGCGAGGAAATGAGGATAGGGTAAAGGAGTGCTCTGCAGTCAGTCACAGTCACTGACTAGTGTTGATCCATTCCTGAATACGGATGTGTATTGGTATGCTCAGGGGGACGACGTCTAGGGCTGAAGCCCATGCTTAACACATAGTGGGAAAAACAACTTCTCTGTGATGTTCTAAAAAAGCCTATTGCCTGCATTTATTATTCCTGGGCATCCTAAACCAAACCTTGATCTTCATCCTGGGTGACTGAGCTAATTGGTGCTACAGTTTTGAGTCTGATGGAGCAGAATCATGGGGAAGAGATTTGAAAACACTCATAATGTCTGACTCAACACCACCTCATCTCAGTCATCTTTCCTCTTGCATGCATAATTTTTTTGTCTTTCTTTAATGTTGAGATTTTTACTCACAGCCAAGAGATGTTCAATCTGGAAGCTTTTTCATTTTTGAGGGAGGACTCTAAAAGAGTGTCCGAAAGAGACTGTGTGTAGATGTAAGGCAAAATAAGACTATTCACGTGACTTTAGTGAACATAGAACAAAAAATACTTCTTTATTTGGGCTGGCAACTACAATCTTTCTGCAAGCTCTGTATCTACTTGGCATTGTCAAACTTGTTACCTATCATTTGCTTTTTGGAATTGGCCAAATTCCAGAAAGCAAATGGCTCTGAGATTTGGAAGAGACTAAGCGAAAACCCCTCCAGCAGCAGGTATTTTACAGCTCTGTAAGCAATGCCATGCTAAAGCCTCTACACATGTATTCCAAATGTTCCAGTGTTTCTCCCTATGCCTTTCAACAGATTTGTAGTGGCCTCAGAAAGCAGAGGACTTTGGTTTAGACAACTGTAATCAGATGTTAGTACAGTCTCTTGTTTCCTATCAGTGGCATGTACACTTCATTAGTGGTGGAAAACATGCTCTTTGCAAAAAAATACTGTTTGATTTACCATTCTCTCCTGGTATTCACTACTGTTCCAACGCAATACAATTCATCATGCTAATTCTTACAAGAAAATGCATTTCTTGACAGGTGCATACCACTGCCTGACTCCTGGTTCATGATTTATAATCTTCTTAAACCACTGGTCTATTTGGGATTTGATGAAAGCAGGAGTTGTATGTTTACTGAGAAGGGCAATCATGAAAGAATAACTGCCGCATTGCTGCTTTCTCGGCTCTGGAAACTTACAGCATCTCATTCAGAGAAGAGAAACAAAGTACATTTTATAGTGTAAAATTCTTGGTCTACCCACCACACTCAGCTGCATTAAGCTGCATGACACACATACTTCATAGATCTCCATCCAAAGTTCAGCTACAAGAGCACAGCCTTATTTGGCTGTAGCTACACCCATGTCAGTGTAACTGCTCTTGATGTCAACACCTTCCATAAAGCTGAAGTTACTCACCTGGTTTATTTTCCTTTCATATTTTTTATCCACTTCAAGTGGTTGAATACTAACACTGATTCTTGAACATAGGTAGACAGGTAATGTTTTGAAAGTTGTGTTTACGAAATGCATCTCTTATCTTCTTGAAATGAAAGCATGGAATTTGCCATTGAGTACTTTCCTTTGATAAAGCTAAGATAAGGATGTAACTACACATACATTTATACAGAAATACCCATTCGAGAGGACATCTACCACTCTAGAAAAAGAAAATATGAAGGCAGTCCATATCTCTAATGTAATATGCGTATCACTAATGTGAGAATTTTGCAAAAAATAAGGAATGAAAATGTGGCTAAGCAAGAAACCATGTAGGTCAAAGTGCCTTAAAAGATTACCTTCCTGGGTAATGCTGGCAAAGACCACCTAACTCAATTTTGCAGAGGAATACAAATCTTGGAAATCGTATCTAAAAAGTAAATAGCTCTGCTAATTTGGAATGACTGTGGTGGAATGTAACTTTTGGGAATCCAAAAAGAATATGATGGTTTGTCAACAAATTCCTTTGTAGTTTCTGCCTGTTCTTGATTAGCCTCTTTTCTTCCTACGCCTGTTCTTGTGTCAGCTTTCCCTGTTTCTTGACAAGTCCTTTACTACGTGTTTATTCTGTAATGTAAAACCATGGCAGACATAGACGGATGTAATCTCAAAATGTTAGCTACCTGAGCTGCTTTGCTCCTCCTTGTGCCCACAAACTTTCTAGATGTATATTGAAAATGTGCATTTCCTGTTTCCTTAATAGCAGTAGAACATATTACTTCTGACTGTCAGAGATTACAAGTTCTTCACCAAATAGTAATTTAAACACCAGGAACTGATGTAATTTTAAACTTGGTTTTGAAATGTGTGCTTTATGAAAGATCTGGTTCTGGGATAAAACTTAATTAAGTGGTCACAAGATGATTCAATTTAAGATAAAGGGGAAAATTAAGGTAGTTTTGCAACTAAATTCCCTGATTTTGAAAGCAGAAGTGGTGATGATTTCATAGGACTTATCACTGAAATCAGCTGAATGAAGTTTAGGGACTTGAATGTAGAAGTCTGTAACCTGCAGCTATACAAAAAAGCAGCTGAAACCTACTGGACGAATAGGAAAAAAGTGAGTACCAGAGACTATTTTAGCTTGGTAAACCACTTCTCTGTAGTACAGAATGCAGTGGGGTAACATTAGGAATGCCAAAAATCAAACTGACTCAAAGTTCACAGAGAACTTCAAAGTAAATGACAAAAGGTTTTGAGATGTACAATGTATCTGAGGACAAAGAAAGGAAAGTTGGATCAACTGTATGGAAATGTGATGCTGGTATGAACCCAAAATGAAAGGTTGGGTCCAATAACGGATGTGGGTTGTATACTAATCAATACCCAGTCAGGAGTGCCCATGCAGTTATTTGTTATGCATTGACTGAGGAGAGGTAAGTACTGTTAATGCAATTTGTAGCATCAACAGGCTGTAGAGTTCAGGCATATGTGAGGCTTAACAGAGAGCATGAAAGGGTGTTCTAAAATGGTGTTTGTCTTCTGGATTTAAGCATCCTATTTAGGGCTACAGAAAGTGTCCCAGTGAGGCCTGGATTCGTTCTGTGCTTAGTACATACCTTATACTTTGGGATGCAGCTGACTGGCTCATGGCTTCCTTAGCTAATATGGGGAAGAGCAATAAATGGAAAAAAGCAACAGTCAGTTCTGCAGAATAATGCATTAATTAAAGCAGTCAGCAAAGATTTGACTGGAATGACATCCCATTCCTTGACTTGTGTAAATCCAAACTTCCAGCTCCTAGGTAAATCCTGCAGACTCCATGACAAGTGAATTAGGGAGCAAGTGTGCTGGAGACACACTTCAGCCTCTGTCCTTGGCATCCACACAGCTGCCAATGCAAGATTCATGATTTCAGAAAAGACGTTAGACCTGACTTTGGGGTCTAAAAAGTAAGTGATGTAGTCAGACAGGTAGACACCTAACATCATCTCATCTTTCACTTTTTGTTATATCCAGTGAAACAGGATAAAAGGCTGAAACAATTTTGGTGTAAGGAGCCATCTAAACACAGGCTGATGTACAGAGTCCAAGCTTGTGTTATCTTTATCGCTCAAAATCAGTAAAGCAGAATAGCTTCCATCTGGCTTGTTCACCCCTCATAATTGATACCAGCGCTTAGTGGGACACAAAATAGTCCTTCTGCAGTGCACAAAACTTTTTGAGAGTCTTCAGGGTGATATTAAAGCAAAAAAATGACACATCATATTATATAATTTCCACATGAGTGAGGAAATCAATGCCTCTTGCCATACAGTGCAGAAGCAATCTGTGCAGGGTTCACTCTGTGGATGCAGATTTGGGCTCTTTCTCCCGTGGCAATGCTTCAGTGCTTTTGTATCCTTCAGTTTCCAAAAGGTGCCTGCAGTGTGACCACGCTTCTGGAACTGCTTCTTTCTACCAGGGCCTTGAGGGAGTCACTGTCACTAGGCCAGTCTCACAAATTAAAAATTCCTGCATCTGTAATGACTGGATCATCTGCAAAATCTTTTAATCTAATTTCCAAATGTTTCAAAGTAACAGAAGTCCCATTCTCTGCTGGAGAAAAGGAACAGCAGGTCTACCAGTTCCCGTTTCTTGAACAGTTTGAATAGGAGCAGAGCTTTTACTTTCCTCCAGAGACAGCTGTAAATCTTTTGATTACCTCAGGGTTCAGATGGAGCAAAGCCAACAGATTTGCTAAGATGTTTGACCTGACCTGTATTTCGAAACTCAGGCTTAGTGTTCATGTAGATGTTATCTACTTCAAAATCTCTATCTTATGTTTTCCATGCAGTTTCAAATAGATGGAGTGCTTTAAATTGCAAGGCAGTAGTGTTACTCCTTACTTAAAATGCAAACAAAAAGCCTTTAAAAAGCCCAGGTCTTCTTTAAAACTCCACTGCAATGATTTTGTTGAAAAATCTCTAATGGATTCAGTTCAGGCATACTACAAATGTGCCACAGATTGGGCCTGTGCAGGATAACATAATAGTACTTAAGAAGTTTATTATGTCTCACAAAATGTCCTGTAGTCACTCACAAGGTTACGTACTAAGATCCTAATATTGCAAGAACAAATTGATTTTTTTCTTGCAATTGTTTTGCAGTGATGTCAAGCGATGTCAAGCCTTAACGTGCAAGTATCATTGATCATCGTTGCTCATGTTTGCAAAGCCCGCAAATCTAAATAACTTAGTCATGCAGATATTTAACATTACATCATCTAAATTAATGGAGGGCCCAGGCATCTACATACCCCTGCCAGTCTCAAATCCAAGGGCTGATGTCCTATATTACAACACTTCTGGGAACGCATTCAAGGTCATGGTCCTGTACAACCAAATGCAACAGGAAGAGTCAAGCTTTTTATGAACATATTAATGTCACAAGCAATAGCAGATAAAACAGAAAACAAAATTATCCGGTTCATAAAGCAGAGCTAAGTGATGTCCTAATGCTCTCACCAGCTAGTTGGTGTGTTGTAGCCACTGCCATTAGGCTGATGGCACTTTTAATGCAACAACTACATCACATTCTCGGGTCTTGTATTTGCCTGGACATGGTCCCTCTTATTTCATCAGCCAGCAGCAAGTGGCTTGGCATAGGAACCACAGTAGGCACCAGAACTGTCCAACGCGGATACATGAACACATGAAAGAGAAAAGTAAAATGTTCCCCATACTTCATGGTCTTTGCTATCTCCTCCCATTCACCTCTAACCACCCTTCATCTCAGAGTCCTCAAAGCGTGGCTCTGCCCTCAGTTTCTTCAGAAACTGCAGCAGTAACACTTCAGAGAGACAAGATGGCACAAGATGACCCACTCAATAGCTGTCTTATTCCTACCTAGTTTCTGACTATACTGGACACTCAAGAAGGAAACACCATTCACGGTACTCTGTCACCTAGACAGCCTAAAATCATGTCCCCAGCACTGTTTGATTTACAAGTACAGAAGAGGTGTTAATCTGTCAAAGGCATACCCAGCAAAACAGCATTAGCAAACAAGGCTTTTGGTGTTGGCTGGACGTCCTGTGACTCTTCTGCAGAGATGGCCCCAGCAGTCTAGCCTGCTTGCTCTGGGGGAGGGAAAAACACTTCCCAGGACTGTTAGAGAGGCATGCAGGCTGCCAGAGCTGGCAATGTGGAAAGGCACCATCCCTGACAGAAAACTAACTTTGCTCTTCCATGTCTGAGAAAAGAAATCTTTCTGGGTTTGTCCTGGAAGCATACCAAAGCCTGGTTTTGGCAGGGGGCTGTGCCTGCAACAAACTGTGAGCTCCTTCTGCAACAAACAAACATGCCTTGGGGCATACAGGGAGCTTACGTATCTTGGTTTATCCTTGGGGCTTTCTCATTAGATGGTTGTGTGTTGTTCTAACCACACTAGCTGGCTGAGTTGCCTTGGCTGAGATGGCTGGAGGCAAAAGCTATAGGCAAAAGGCCCATTTAATTCAGGAGTCTACCGTGAAAGGTATAGCCAGGAAAGTTTCATCTGATATCATGGAGTCTTTCAGACCCCTGGCAGCCAAGTTCCACTATCCAATGACAAATTTCTGAGTTTTCTACAATGATCTGAGGGTGACAGTCCCTATGTTACTCTGTCTTGAGAGACCTACAGGGAGCATGAGGTTGTCTTTCTCTGGGTGCAGGGTAGAAGGGTCTACATTTGCGCACAACCTTTATGAGGAGAATGAAAATGTTCTATCAGCAATGGTAACTGGCTTCTGTTGGGTTGCAAACACATCTTGTTGCAGATAGGCCTTACTGCCCAAAGTACTCCCTTCTCCTGGCTTTGCCTATGTCCCCCAAAAGAATGTGCCCTCTGGCAGCCAGTAGTCTGAGCACCCGAAAAGAGGCATACAGGCTTCCTGCCAAAAGCCAGGGATGGAGGGAAGCACATGGCTCACTGTAGGATAGGGTGGGGAGGCAGAAAGGTCCTGCCCCACACCAGAATTTGGGCAGGCTGGGCTTATGGGAATGGGTTCAGCTCAGTGAGTCTGGCAGGGCTGCCAGGTATACCTCAGGAAATCTTTTGGGACAGTATGGAAATTTGTTAGCCTGGTGGACTGGTGCTTGATTTTTACCTCCTGTTTTCCTATTAGACCTTGATGGATAAAGGCACAAGGTGGTTGTGTAACATGGTCAGCCAGTGCACATGGTGCACATATATGGAGTGTGTGTGGTACAGGCACCATGTGGGAGAGGTGGGGAGCATGGTACAAGTAGGATGCTACACTTTTGGGCCCTGTCACTGCAATAGCTTTGCAGCATTCACAGTGTTCTTTTAGGGAGAGCTGCCTAATTGAGTAGCTCTTCCTTTTTTAAAATGGTTGTTGCAGGTGTTATTGGTGTTGCTCATCTTTCATAAAGAAAGCACTTGAGCAAGAAGTGTGCATTTAATTGCATAGCAGGGATAAGTGGCATCTTATTTCTTTGTAATTAAAAACCCCCACAAACAACTAAACACAAACCCACTCACATTTAAATATTTAAATTTTTTTTTTTTATTTGTCTGATGTGATATTTCATGCCAGATCTCTTTCTGGGCAGGAGAGGAGACCAACTGGAGGGAGACAGTTGTGTGTAGCTGTTCAGGGTTGTGGATTCATCTATATCTGTGTAAGAGTAAATGAAGCGCATGCTTTTGATCTCAATTGCATCCTCTGATTAATATAGAAATGTAATAATAAAAATCTGCTTATAATAAAAATGAAAATGTTAATTATTCCAGTGCCTGTGCAGATGTTACTGATAATGCCTTTTATGTGAAAGAACATGAACAATACAGACCCTGGACTTTTAAAGAGACAAAAAAAAGGAAGAACCCCAATAGTGTGCCAAATTTTAAAAAGAGAAACCCTTAAGGGAAAGAAAAATAGAAAGATTGAGAGGTAGAGTGAAAAAGCAAATATTAAAAAATATGAAAAAAATCTTGTCACTACCACATTCATTAGAAAAATTCTATCTTGAGTACCCTTTGTAAAATGTCAAATTTTATACTCCAGCAACAAATAAGAAACATAAATAAAATCAGGAGGGTTGAATTACATTATATGTTGCATCAGTAAAGTCTTGAGTTACTTGCATCCTCAGCCTATAAATGCACTGATTCTAGAAGATAAAAATGCCCTTTTATAGGAGCAGATGTAGAAATCTTTGAAACAGATACTGCCAAAATCCAGTAATAAATATCCTTGATTTGAAAAGCCTACTTAGGGCAGCAGTTCTCAGAAGGCTTCATGTGAGAAGAGGCATAAGCTGGGCAAGAGCTAGTGGGCCCTGGAGCTCAGGGGCAGGACTGTTGAGTTACAGAACCAGCAGGAAAAGTCAGGGATATCTGCCATGTGCCATCCAATTTTATGTCAGGAAAACCCCACATGCCGCATGTACCACAGGATTCAGAAATGCTAGTTTGGAGTCAGTTTTAAAAGAAAACATGAACTTGTAGCCCTAGAGGAGCCAAGAAATGATGCTTGCTAGTCATGGAAAAGGGATGTTGATAAAAAGCCAAATAGTGATAACTTTAAATGTGGGCCCAGAGAAATGAAATGCAGCGAGAGATTGCTTCAGGCTTAATAAATTAAAAGTTTGGGGTCTAGCAAATTTTTATCTCTATTGTTGATTCAGTATGAAAGGAAACACAGGGAAGGGGATATGCAGGGATCAAGATATGCCAAAGAGAAAAATAAAATATAATAATAATAAAAATAAATTATTTTCTGAACATTCCTCAGATCATAGTTTTCTTGAAATATGTTGCAAAATGTTCAGTGGTCTTTTATGGAAGACAAGTAATTCTGGCAAGACAATTTGTTATGGATTTATGGAACTGTGTCAATAAAAATCCAAATTGAGATTGCAAAAGCAAAGAAAAATATTTTTATGTTAAATAAAATGTTTTAATAATTCTATTTGAAATCACTTGTTCAGTCTGGAATTTCTTTTAAGATCAAAAATGCAAAGTACTCAGATTCACAGGCTGAATAAAAAGCTTTCTTCAACCTGAAATTAACCTTTTCTGTGAAATTGCCCCCAAATAAGAATTAAAAAAGTATCATTCACATAGGTTCATCCACGCATCTAACCACCAAAAGAGCATCATTTTTCCACTTCCCTTACTGCTTTCACTCTCTGTCTTCTGTCATTTATTATCATTTAATCATGCCACCATTCACCCAAGCAAGGGCTGAACTGTGCTTCTTGCTGCATGATTAGGTAGCAAAACCTTTAAATTAACTGTTTCACTAAAGAAACCTATTAGATTAAAGGCATAAATATAAAAGGGTTTAATCGAATATTTATCCAGTGCAGTCAACCAGGAAAAAATGGTTGCCATGGCAGCTAAAATTTCCCTGTACAAGTGTTGGGAGCTGTGATAGTTCACTGGTCAAGCCACAAACTTGGGAGCCCCTGCTACTACAGACTTCCCCTTTGGAAGGAATGTAGGAATAGGTAGGAATGTAGCATAGGTATCTCTCTGCTTTCTTGTCTATTTGTTCAGCTGACACCAAATTTAAGTGTGTGGCGTCTTTTAAATTGCAATCTGCTAAAGAATATGTACCTTTCTGCCTTCTGTATTGGTCCCTTGTCACCAGTACAAATTAGGTCCACCCTAAACATGCTTTGCAAATGATTTTAGTATCATGTCCCATTGGGGAGATACGGATGTGCCTAGCCTAAGCATTTTGCTTTATGACCTGTAATAGTTCTCAGCTTGAAGTAAAATTCTAAACTTCTGTACTGGCTATTGTAAGGCAGCATGAGCAGAAACTGAAATGCAGGCTTATACAGGCATTTAGGGAATTAGGCTGTCATGTCACCACAACGAGAACTGTTTCCATGTTTCTTTTGTAATGATGCCACACCTTTACAGAAAAGTACATTATGTGAAATGTCACCTCGTTCACATAAAAGTGACAACATGTGTCACTTTATATGCGATCTGGACTCCCAGCAGCTTAAATCCTCCTGAATAAGTAAGAGTTGCACAGATGCTTAGTGATGTATTTCATATTTAGACTTACCTGAAGGGTTGTACAAAGAATGGGAAAAGGCTCTGGAGCTCACTGGGAGCCCAGTAGGATGCTAGTTTTGTTTTCATTTCCAAAAGTCCTATTTACTCCTATTTACCTGTTTGAGTGCTCACACTCTAATTTATGTTTAGATACGTCCAACAAAACATCTGGGTGTACTGAGTCACTCCTGCTGAACAGAAACTCTGCAGGAGGAAGTGGAGAGCACTTACCCAGTTCACCTACTTACAAATGTTCCAATGCAGAAATTAATAATGCCACACTTCTCTTATTCTGGGTGGGCCTTCTCCCTTCAAAGAATGACCTTCCTATAAGGGAATACAATTCTTACAAAATTACTAAAGGAAAATATTTTTTTAAATTTTTGCAGGTTAAATGACTCATTCAAAAGGTCATTATTTAATGTGTAGAACAAAAGCTGGCAAGATTATTCTTATTCTTTTCCTAATGTAGTGATAATGTAGCTTCTGGGAATGCTGCTCCTGAAGAAGAAGCACTATGACAGTACTAGACAATTAAAGAATGAAAAGGATAGTCAATGACCAGAGGAGCTCAGCATTAAACTATGAAGACAGTGATTTGTCCAATCCTCTTGTAAACTCTGCATTATAAAGATTACTTCTTAGGAAAATGACTGTTCACTAAGGTTTTTTAATCTCCATTTTCCTCTGTTGAGAGGGACAGGAAGGAAGAGACATCAGCATAGGTGCCATGGTGGAGGGGGGATTCAAAAGAGCTCATCTACATTGCTAGAAGCATGGCAGGTTTATGGAAAACTAATTCAGTCACAGGCTCCTGTTAAGTGTTGCCTGCACTTAGGAGGTGGGAAGCTTTGGTGTTTCCTTTTAGTTACTGCCAGAGAGAGAGGTAGTGCTTTTGTGCAATCCTCTGATGGCTGGTCATCTCCTTTGAAGATGACCTGGAGAAGAAAGGAGCACACATGGTAGCACTGACTTTCTGTGTCAGGAGGGACGATAGTGTAGCATTTGCCTGCTGTGGAGTGTATTTTGAAGGGTATAAAATGCATTTAGTTACAGAAACAGAATTATAGTGATATAGCCTAAAGCCATCCCATACACAGAGATATGAGCCTATAAATACACACACAAATCTACCCTACCTATTACTGCCTGGTCACAACCAAGGGAATTTGTAAGAGTTTCCTCTCTGTCAAATTGGTCTTGAATTTCAGTTGTTGTCAGGACCTGATGCATATTGGTGGCATCTATTTGGCACTTCACCGTCTGCTTCTCATTTTAGTACCTGACACAACCATCCTCCTTCCCCGTCCCCCTTCCATGGTTAACCTCACCTCTTTTATCGTGCTTGGTCTTCTACCCTTCTACCTCATTTTCCTTGCTTCTCCCTCTGGCACCAGTTTGGATCCACATCCTCTGCAAGCCTTGGAGAATACTTGCCCCCTTCTTACATACAGCCTTTCTTCTGTTCTTATTCTCTGTGGTTCATCTACCAGTCCTTACTACCACAACTGTTGTTCTTATGCTGACATTTCTAACTTCATGGTTATTTCTGCTTGTGCTGTGCCTCTTCTGAAAACATCCACAGCCTTTTTATGTCTTTCTGGTCTAGGGTATAAAGGCTGAAAGGCCATCAGAATGAAGATGCAGGCAGAGGATTTTATCAGAGAAGTAAGAATTGTCTGGTAAGGATGAAGACACTGATAAAGAAAAAGATTAAAATTTAATGAATGCAAATATGGCCACAGGATTCCCAGGAATGCTTTGCAATTTAAAAGCAAAAGGAAAAGGTGCATATGTGTAAGCTTACATCTGGCCAGTTCAAGTCATAGCATGGGAGTGCTCCCAGATCTCTCACCAAGACTAACCTTTTGCACATTAGCAAACACAAGTACCTCCTATCTCCCACAGAATAGGACACTGTGAGTTAGTTTGGTGTGATGCATCTGAGACCATGACATTCCCCTCTCTTTTTTACATTTACCCACCTGCCTGCTCTCTCTAGACTACACCCACTCTCGGACATGAAGTCCTCGGCCCACAGGAAGTACCATGAAGTACAGAATACAAGGTGCACATCCCCAAGGTAACAGAGAGTACTGTAAACACGTATCTGTGGTCTGTTCTCTGCTTTGCCTTCCATAAACTATTGCTAAATTCAAGTTCCCAGTGCTTGCCTTCCAAGGGCACTGTTGCTTGCTCTCAGAGATCTAAATAAATGCCTAAATGACTCATGCAAACATCTTTCCACCACAGAGGAAACAGAATGTCCCTCTGTAAGAGCAAGCTTTCCTATGTAGAAGACAAAGTTTTCCACCTTAGTTTGTCTGAGGCTAAGAAACAGTCACAGCAAGGGAGCACTAAGGAAGACCTCACTGCCTTCTGCTCTAACCACAATATGTAATGTTTCAGGCTTTTTTTTCTAAACCTAAACACAGCTGTGGGCATATTAGCTTGAAGTTGCACTAAATCAAAACAGATTGAGAGCAAGAATAAACAACACTTGACATATTAGTCATGGTACTTAAGATATTGCTAGAAGATACCCAGATTCAACAGTGATTAAGATGTTGTAAGAATATACACACAGAAAAACAGTGGGTATGTAAATATCCTTGGTGCCTGTGAGGCAATATTTATAGGCATTTGAATCATAGGTTGTAAATTAGGTTGGAATTAGGTTGGAAAAGACCCTTAAAATCATCAGGTCCAACTGTTAACCCAACACTGCCTGTCCAACACGAAACCACGTCCCAGATGCCACATCCAAACATCTTTTAAATCCCTCCAGGTATAGTGACTCCACAACTTCCCTGGGCAGCCTGTTCCAGTGCTTGGCAACCCTTTCAGGGAAGACGTTTTTCCTAATATCCAACCTAAACCTCCCCTGACACAACTTGAGGCCATTCCCTCTTGTCCTGTCACTTGCTACCTAGGGAAAAAGAGACCGACACTGACCTCGGTACAACCTCCGTTCAGGTAGTTGTAGAGAGCAAGAAGGTCTCCCCTGATCCTCCTTTTCTCCAGACTAAACAATCTGTGGTACTTAGTTTTGCTTAAATTTACCATTTTAATGTAAACCAAATAAAGAAATTAGCACAAATATAATACAGTAATTACATTACAAACATTATAAAACTCTGGCTCACAAAATGCATGTGATTCAGAAAAATCTTTCTATATTCTTCTTATGTAGTCCACCCTTGCTTGAAATACTCCAGACACATTAGGCAGCCAAAAAAGACTTGAGAAGAGCCTTGCAAGTGGTGTGTGGTTAGGTGAGGAGGATATGAGGATATCCTGCAGGCCAAGGATATGTGCACTCCAAAAATTGCCTTTTGGGAGCTCTGCATTGGCAGGTAACTGGTGGTCTGCTGAGAGCTGCGTCCAGTAGTGTCAGAGAAAGTTCTCTTTCTTCTTTTTCTGATGCCCCAGAAAAGTGGGAATTCTGCGTGACCCAGACAAAAAGTCAGGCTGTGGACCTACACATGCTAGACCCTGGTGAGGCAGCTGAGAACTAAGGAAGACCTAGCGGTAATAGTGTTGACAGACTGCACTAGCCAAGGCTGAGAGCAACTATGTTTGCAGTCATTTGACATTGTTTGTGTTCTGATTTGACTGTCCATACTTCATAGTAAGTGCCTCATATCCAGGTCACAAAATATGTGACATACTTTGAAGATGGCTCTGCTGGTCTTAGCTTATTTCTTTTAGAACAGAACTGCATTTCCCATTTTCATGGGTCTCTAGCTTTCCACTAAAGTATTGAAAACTCGGTCCTCTTCTTTCTCAGCATAAAAATGAAGAATAATTATGATTTTTTTATTATTTTTAATTATTATTATCTTCCTGCATGCAGTATCTTACTAGAATGCCTGGTCTCTGTCTGTGCCTTCTGTTATTGAAAGCTAACAGTATATGCACACCCAGCGGTATTTGACTTTGCATTGTGAGGTTCTTATTGAAGGTAGAAATCAAGTTTTCAGAGTGCAAGTGCGAGTGTGTTTTGGGACTTCTAAATATTACTGCACCTGGCAGTATTCTAGCTATTTTCCATCTTCATCCAGGATGCTGGATGGCATTAGGCTTCTGCTTAGGCCATTGCTGGCAGCAAATACTATCCAGGCATCTCAGAGAAAAGTGAAAAAAAAACCAAACCAAATATATTTTTCAGGGTCATTGTTACTGGAAGAAATTTGAAGATCTCTAGTGTATAGATCTGAAAGTTCATACAACTATAGATCTGAAGTCACCATCTGCAATTACTATTTTGAGGTTGGAAGTACTGTCTTATAACAGAATAATTTGTTTTAATTATGTCCGACCTCCCATCATAGTTGGTAACCCCAGTAGGGCAAAAGCCACACTGTGCCACTCAATTTAAGCAAGCGTTTCTGTGGCTTTATGTTACAGAAGGAAAAAAAACCTCAGGTCTATGTAGTAACCTATGAATTTGTCTGTGTTGTCGTCTGTTCCCTGGCTGCTGCAAAAAATAACTGCCTTAAACATAAGTCTGGGAATGCCAAATGAAATACGATGAGGATCCAGATGATCTTGACAGTGACGTTTGGTTATGAAAAGTGACTTACATGACTTTTCTTCTCAACCTTGTTGATTATTTGCATTACTACTAGAGGGAAAGGAATTCTTCTGGGAAGAAAGGCAGTTTTGTTTGAGCATTCGTACGTTGTCTATTTTTATGACTTTAGCATAGAAGCAGAGTGGCTTTCAGAACAACCAGAAACATCTGGGACATAATGGTGGACCTGCTGACTGTTTTGCTGTGTAACCTGTAAATGCCTGAGTGCTCATGATCTGCTTTTTCCTTTCTTCTTTACTCCTCAGGCAAGGGAAACCTTCCATGGTTCCACTTTGATGTCTCTTCTCTCCCTCTTGCCTATTCAGGTTGACACTAAACTAAACAGATCATGCAACAGAAACCATGTTGTGTAAATGAATGTGGAAAATGCAAGAGAATGCTGTAATCAAGAAAAGCTTTGAAAGAAGCACAGGTTTTACTAACTCAATCGGAAGAATGTTGTTTGTTTGTTCCTTGTCACTTTTGAAAACAGAGGTTTCTAACCAAAGCCACTTGAATTCTGCATTTTTCAGTGTTGTATGTCCTAAATGTTGCTGTAGAAAATTAAGACAAAATTCATACTCGGATTAAAAGGATCTTTTGATCCTGCAATCTGTACCTCAAGGGCACAGTATCACTGCAATCAGACCTACATGAATGGAAGTGGAAATCAACCATTCACCTCCAGGCTCTGAGAAGACATTTTAAAAAATAATTTCCCCTTTGTTGTGTGGAAGTCGTGACAAAACCCTGGCAATCTTGCCTAGTCAAATGAGTCCATGGGCACTGGCATTCACAGAAAACACAGATGTCAGGAGGTCAGCTAATCCACTTTCTACCCTTGGATTTAGGTTGCCTATGTTGAGCAAACATCATGACAGAGATTATAGAAACACAGAATCTTAGAA